ATGGTCATAATTTGAGCTAGGTACCTCCAAATTAAATTCCGTGCATACGCTAAAGTCCCAAATCACGATACGGAGCTACCAGAACTGTCAAAATACTAATCTAGGTCCGTTTGCTAAAAATGTTGACCAAAGTCAACTTAATTGAGTTTTAAAGCTCTATTTCACATTTTAATCCATTTTTCACATGAAAACTTTCGAAAAATTGTACGGACTGCGCACGCAAGTCGAGGAATGATAAAATGGTACTTTTTGAGGTCTTATAGCACATAATTACTTATTAAATTTAAAGATGATATTTTGGGTCATCACATGCACCAATTACCCTTTAATTAATTTTTGATCCACTGAGGGATGTGAACTTAAAAAATGTTGACCATTTTATAAAATTCGATGCTCCTTTTTGATATGTGGTTTGTTTTTGTCAAATTAGTCTTAGGGTACGCACGATGCGCGTGAATTCTATCTGAATAAGTGTAAATTTATTTAAAAGTAGTATTGAGTTATACAATAAAAGTGTAAGTTCCTAAAGATGGTCATGAATATTGATTGTGTATAACTAACTTAATAATTGAAGAAATTATCTCAGAAGTCATCAATCATCAATAACTCAACCTAACATTTGTTCCAAGTTTGTAATTTCATAGTTTCAGTTTCACGGCAAGCCTTGAAAATCCAAATAATCTTGAAGGATACAATTTATAACATATAAGCATGCAACTATTAATCTACGAACTTAAAATAAATACAAAATCAAAGTACAATAATAAACAAAAAAAGATATTTAAAAAATAAACAAGTTAGTAAGAGAATCTACAATTGAAATATAGCTAATGAACCCACTCATATTTTGCTAAATTTATCATGGGTAAAAATTTAAAGATCTCATAAATTATTTTGTTATTTTTGTGCATATTATTGATTTCTGCTCAACATTACTCATAATTGTAATTAAGGGTGGCAAGTGGGTCGGTCCAGGCCCGGGACCGCGGGCCAAACGGGCCAGGACCATTTGGCCCGGTTTTAGTGGGCCTGGGCCGGTCCTATGATTTGGGCCCCCCAGGCCCGAGACCATTTAGCTCGTCAGGGACCAGCCCGGTTCCTTAGCGGGCCAAACGATCCCAACGGCTATATTTAAAAAAAAAATTAATTTTTTTTTTAAATATAGCCGTTGGGCTATCAAAAATAACCGTTGGCTATTTATAAAATAGCCATTTAACCCCCCAACTTTGTTTTAACCCCAAACTTTTTATAATTATACTTTTTCCCTATTATCCCTTTTTATAATTACACTTTTTCCCCATACTAAATGTATAATATATAAGCTCTCTCTCTCTCTCTATATATATATATATATAAAAGCTATATTCGATAAGCTATATATAATATAGCATAGTATAGTATATATACTAAATGTATAATGTATATATAGTATATATATTTATATAAGCTATATNAAAACTTATATTCGATATAAGATGTATATATAGTATAGTATAGTGTATATATATAAGCTATATTCGTAATTAAATATTGAATATTAAAATTTAGGTCACATCCTTTTGCCTCTAATATCTATTTAATATATTTTTTTAAAAAAAATTCGTTGGGGCCACTTAGCCAATTTAGCCTGCGGGCCGGGACCATTTAGCCCGGTACCAAACGCTCCCGGTCCCGGGCCGGTCCCTACAAAAAGACCACTTAGCCTGGGACTGTTTAGCCCGTTTAATTTGGGACCGGCACGGGACCGGGACGGTTTGAACTGGCCCACTTGCCACCCTTAATTGTAATTGCGCATTTAAAACTTTTGAAAGTTAACAGTATAATATTGAATAATTTTATTGGTGCAGTAGTCTTGTATATTTTTAAAAAGTGAACTATCTATGTTATTGTTCAAGAATCCGTACCTCTTCTTTCTTAAATATTTTTATTTTTCCTTCACCTATCTTTTTATAATTTAAGTGTAAGACTTATACAAAGTAAAATTTAATAAGAAAACAAATTAATAAGTAAAGCTTTAATTAATTTTAAGCTCCTCTATTAAAAAATAATTGAATATTATTAAATGAAGTGTTTCTAATAATATTTAACATAAAATTTAAGGGACTTCAAAATATATATTTTTAATGATAAAGATCAAGTTTGAAATGAAAAGAAAAAGATTAGTTTTTAATTCTAGTCCTTCATCCTAGGTAAACATTATTTCATTAATGGTATTCTACTGGATGGTAATACTCACGTTTTTTTTACTTAATTAATATGTTGTAATTAATAAAGGATAAAGATTAGGAGTCCTTACTTAGTTTAATAATAAAATATTTAATAACCAAAATTTCAGGTGATTTAAATGTCCCAAATATTAGAAAAGTAACTTAAATTACAGTTGTGTCCAATATAAAATCTATTTTGGAGGGGGAGGGGGGGATAAAAAAGGCGAACAACATTTTGTTAAAGGCGTTCGTGTGCACGTGTAAGCGGCGTCTGTTTATAAAAGAATTATATATCACGTGAAGGAACTATGTGTAATAGTAATTAATGTCCAAATGGATTCAACTTGAAATTGAAATGTAAAATGAGTATAAATACATTGATGTAATAGGTGAATTCAAATATGGTGAATATCTTTAGAACCCGCAAATGTCAACAAAAAATTAATTAAGGTCGTAATATGTATAGCATTTATAATTATATGTAATATATTGTAAGAGTTAATATCATGATATGTTGTTGTATCTTATCTAATATCTCTTTGCAGACAATGTTCTTGGTGTATGTGCCACTTCGTCTCTTCGGTTGCTCTATCATGACCAAAACTCATGTTGTTGATATCGATATACCTCTTGAAAGTGCAACATATAACTGCCCATGTGAAAAAATATGTTGCGGCAAGTACAATTCAATGTATTGTTTGACACTGTGTTTTATTAATTGTCATCGAAAAACATAAACGCACTTGAAATTGTATTTTGATGAATTTAAAAGGGTATTCTTCATTTTCTGGCGGCGAAAGTTGAATTCTTGGAATAAACAAATGTTTGGAAGCATTTTAACGTTATTGTCAAAACCTCTACATATCATTCTTGTATCATTACATAAGTCGTTTGAAGGATCCAAATTTCTTAGTAGCATGATTGGTGCATTTTTCTTCAACATCAACCTGTATACCAATAAAAGTAATTTATTTGTACATAATCACGCATGTATAAAAATAAAATACAATTATTTTTTTATCAGGTAATTAAACTTTAAGTTATCATCTTGATTGTCTTACCTTAGCAAGAAGCAATCTACCTATATTCCAGTACTAGGTCGAACCGTCGGTGCCGAGGCATTTTCCTCTTTTTTGTCTTTCAGTTTTTGGACTGAGTCCATCGTGAGAGTGATTACTTTCCTCCTCACCCTTCGAGGTTTGGGTTTGGGGTCCTCGGACTGCGAGGCAGTATTCCTCTTCTTGTCTTCCCCCGACTTCGGAATCGGGGACTTGGTTTCTTCCTCGCCACTTTAAGGTCTCAAAATGGCATCCTTGGTGAGGCATACATGAAAAAATATTAGTGACAAATTAAGTATAAAAAGTATTTCAGAACATGAAAAAGGAGATCCTTACCGTGGTTCTTGGCCTCCCATCTGCCCTTTGCCAAATCACGCCATGCGCTTTCGACATAAGTGGAAGTTGAGGCTAACTTCCGAACCCAATCTTCGAGGTCATTGAATGACTCTTGAAACATAGTAAACATTTTAATAGCTACTTTGATAAGTAACTATTAAAATTCGTTCTTAACATTGAATGACTCTTGAAACATAGTAGTTTCTACAGTATTATTTATTTCAACTTATATTTAGAATTAAAAGTGCTAAGAGAAACTATATAAGTAGAAGAATACTTTAATTGGCAAACTCACAGGTAAAAAGTGTTAATTCAATTACTGCTAACAATTTCTATATCAGTTGCTTCGGTTGAATTTTTAAAAAAAAAACTAAATCAATAAAGTTCAACATGATAATACAAGAGAGATTAAACAAATGGATTAGACATTGGAAATAATTAAAATTGATTATAACTTCTTTAGTTTTCGATAATTTATAAAAGTAAAAAAAAAATTTAAAAAAATTTAAGGCCTCAGTTTTTATTTTCGCCTTAGGCCCCATATTATGTCCAGCCGACCCTGCTCAAGGCTTTGGTCACTACTCACTCCAACTTGCAGTAATTTTGTTAGTGAGGACTGAGGATATAATCATAGAAGTTACTGTAATAGCAAACTACATTCTCGAGGATGTTCATACAATGCTGAAAAATCCATTACCGGATGTGGTTAATTAGACTGGTTTCCGTCTCTTCAGCTATGTAGAAATCTTGAACATTTTAACTAAATAATTATTTTTTGACACAGAGGGAAATTTTAGCGTAATAGTAAGAGTTAATTCAGTGTGACTAGAATGTCTTCTTTTCACGTTATTGTACAAATCTCTTGCAGAAATACAAGATAATGTTGGATACAATATAATTTGTTTCTTCTCCAAACCCACGTACGGAAGAAACTTAGTGCACTAATTACCCTTTAATTAGTTTTTGATCCATTGAGGGATGTGAACTTAAAAAATGTTGACCATTTTATAAAATTGGATGCTCCTTTTTTATATGTGGTTTATTTTTGTCAAATTACTTAGACCTCCATAACATGCAGGGCCGAATCCACCTTGCGGTACCAGATTTATTTAAATCTAATTATACTTTCATCGCGAATCATATATTATGTATAAAAGTTCATTAAAATTATAATAAATTGTAAATATGACCCTTTAACTTCAAAACTATAATGTGTCCATGCTAAGAATTTTAAATATTGAATTCATAAAATTTAAATTGAAAATTCTGAATCAGCATCTGACCTAGTAAGTGGCTACTTTGCAAGACAATTAAAAATATGACTAAAATTAATAACCGACCTAAAAAGTGGCTATTTAACCAAGATCAGCCAATTGTTTTGTATTCACTAGGGCTTAGAGTTAGTAGAACTGGACGTAAAACCCAAAAGGAAAGGCCATTCAGCAAGTGAAAAAGGCCGTCTCATCTCAGCAAGTGCAATTCAGATACAGTAACCAGAAACCTAAAGAGTCCAGTTGGGATCCAACCAAATCCCAAATAGCTGGTTACCACATCGTCTACAGAAGAAGGCTTCCGATAGTTTATCACCTCACACCAGAGGTCAGTGGTTCGTCCCTTCGGGGACATCCGATAAAATTGGAACGATACAGAGAAGATTAGCATGGCCCCTGCGCAAGGATGACACGCACAAATCGAGAAATGGTCCAAATTTTTTTCTTATTCTCCGATTCACGGTCTGTTTCTCACGTTTTTGCTTCAGGTCACTTTCTCTTTCTCCACGTGTATTGTCTCTTCCCCTTTTTTGTTTATGGTTATTTCCTGTGGGCGTATATGTAAAAGCTTCTTGTTTTAACATCATGGATTGACTTCTCCGATTCACGGTCTGTTTCTCACGTTTAAGCAACATTTTTTTTCCCCTTCCCGTGTTTTGCTTCAGGTCACTTTCTCTTTCTCCCCGTGTATTGTCTCTTCCCCTTTTTTGTTTATGGTTATTTCCTGTGGGCGTATATGTAAAAGCTTCTTGTTTTAACATCATGGATTGACTTATATATGGTATATGGAGTTCTGCTAATTGTTCTGTATGAAATTTGGCTAGGAGAAGATGGGGCAGTTGGCAAAGTTTTCATCTTTAGTTTAAGGTGTCAACTTAAATGTGCAGATTTTGGCTTATCATTATGTTTTTTTGGATGTAATTACTGACAATGCTTTTGTAACTAGGGTAAAATGAGTATTGTAAACAGAATGAAGGTGATACTAGATAATTATTTTTGCAATTTGATATGGCTTTATCGGATTAAACTAATGAAAGAGCAGTATACAATCGCTTTATAGGTTTAGAAAGGAAACTAGAGATCTAGACAGAAGATGCTTCCACCTTTAGATTTTTAGGATTTAACCTTTTTAAAGCATTTTTATGCTATGTTAATTATTTTTCTAGGAAATAAATTAGCAATTACATATACAAATGTTGGTATTTTGGGAAGTTCAGATTTAATTTCATAATGGCTTCTAAGAGCAATGTATTTAGAGTTCTCTGGTAATCTTCTCACAGTGCTCTGTTTTGGCAAGAGAAGGTTACAACAATTTCCATATTATCTTAGATTTTGTTTGCAGCTTCCCTTTCCTGACAAAACTGATATTTGCTCTCTTAATGCTGCTTGTTTATTTTAGGGTTCTTGCATGTTTCCAGTTCTAAATAGGTATATCCAAATAAAGGGCAACTTCAAAGTTTAGTGCAGTTGATTGGGAAACAAGAAGTATTAACATTGTTATTATTCCTTTCTTAAGATGTTTTAGATGTATCAACCTGAGATCGAGCAAATAGGAGCAGGGAATAAATGGACTGGTAATCTTTGGTCCTAATCTATATTCCAGCATATACTACTGCAGACACTTAGATAAGAGTCCTTTTTTTTACACTTGGGCATATTATGGACTATAAGATGTGTGAAAATACTAGGTGTAGTGTTGCTATTCATTGTGTTACAGACTTACATTTATATAACAGTAACAAATAACAGAGGACAAAACGAAAGGAAGCAACTTTATTCCTTGTGCATGCTTGGGCATCAGTGATTCAAATATAAGGTGTTGCAACCAAGTACAAATCATTCTTCCTCCCAGCTGTTGCCCCAAAGGTCTCAGCCATGTCAAGTTCAATTCCATCAGGGAGTTTCCAGTCAAAATGAAAAAGCATCTTGGCAAGTGGAAGTTCAACATTTACAGTTCCAAATAATTTCCGTGGACATATCCTTCTGCCAGCTCCAAATGGTATGTACTCAAATTAGTCCCTATGAAATCAAACGCAGAATCTTCAAATTTTTCTGGTTCAAAGCATTCAGCATTTTTCCAGTGCTCTGGATGTCTACCTATTGCCCATGCATTGATGATGACTTTAGTTTTTGGTTGTATTTCATAGCCACCAATTTCACATTTTTCTTTAGCTTCTCTTGGTAGTAACAAAGGTAAAGGTGGATGCATTCGTAGTGTCTCTTTGATAACCAATTTCATGTAATCTAGCTTTTGAAGCTCTGATTCTGTCATTTTACTTTTCCCTTCAAGTACCTTTCTCACCTCAGCTTATGCCTTTTTCCATCACTTGTGGTTTCTTCATCATTTCTGAAATCACCCACTCTAAAACTGTGATGATGTGTCAGTCCTGAATGTGAACAGCCATGAGAAACTCTTAGTTGAAATAAATTGGGCTGATGTCTGTCAGCAGTTCTTAAAACTTGCACAAGATGGTAAAAAAGATTTCTGTATGCTCTATGATAAGGAGGCAACATGTAGATTTGGAACATCAATACGATAATTTTGACGTATCCATAATGCCTAAGAATTATTTCCTTTTGGTTAGCACATATATATTTTTCTGCCATCAAGTATATGCTTTAGTTTACAATATAAGGCCAACAATAATATGATGTTCAAAAAATGCTCTGTAAACTGAAACACCTTAGAGTTATCCGTAATTCAACTTCTCTAAAATGAGATGCATGACTAGTCCACTGCTTATTTTAGAAAAAGGGGTGCATAAGGTTGTAATGAGACATACCAAAATGACAGCTTTGAGAGTGTTTCTTGAGATGGGAATTTCTAGATCACTGCTTTCTTGAACCTTAAGTAGGACATCAACCAGGTTTTCCTTGTGCAACATGTCACTGCTTATCTCTCTCCTATTTGCTTTATGCTCTTCTATTATGTTCCCGTGAATTTTATCAACCATCTGTTGTACTTTCTCAAGTGCAGGCTTCACTCCACTTAATGAGTGGAGAATTTTGAAGGAAGGAAATATGTCTGGTATAAACT